TGTAAAGACAAACGGCTGCCTCTTTTTTGTTCACTAGCCACACAGACATGTTCAGTTATTACATGCATTTAACAGCTTGTTTTTCTGAACTTCATCTTCATTTGTGAAAGAGCCAGAAAAGAAATAAAGAATTTCACATATAACCATGCAGAGTTTGGTGCTTGTAAGTGTTCAAGGTTAAAAGCTTGATTTAAAGGTCACATATTTAAACCCCAATTTAAACAAGTTTAAATAAGTCTAAGAGCTCCCTGAAACATTTCTTTGACGTTGCTTGCCCAAAATCCTCTCCAATCCTGTATTTAAGCATGCCTATAAACCCCTCTATAGGGGTTGCTCAGAACAGAGTTTCTGTGTCTGTACCTTTAAATGCATGTAAGCTGTGTTTAAACCACGCCCCCTCTCTGGGTTTCTCACACCATGCCCTATTTTTTTGCCGTAGAAAAGGCAGACTCAGAGGGCAGAACAAGCACCTGGTTGGGGGATTTCCACCCACCTGTGGGAGGTGTTACTTCCCTTTGTGATGTCATAAAGGGAAAATCACCAAACAGACTGTTTGAGCAAACATTTTCGAAAAAGTGGAGCAGGCAAAAGACAGAAAGGGATGCACTTTTCTTATAATTGGTGGATTTGTAGACAGGCTAGGGACAATATGTGACCTGTAAAGAAACATTAAGACAATTTTGCACTTCTAGAGCACCTGCTATATTAAAATCTACTTTGATTATTGCGCACTCCTAATCTACAAACCTTTGATTCTGTGATCACATCTAGTTGATGTCTTGAGAAGGATCGGTAGATTGCACTTTTTTTTATTCTTATTTGACCCAGTATTACATCACAGAAAGCATTTTGGAACAGACAGTTGAGTTATCTGGGCTAACATGAATCAGGATATGCTAACGTAAATCTCCCCGTCAGTCACACAGTCACCTCGTGTTACCGGCATAAGCAGTTCCTGAGGGAGCATCGCTGATAAGGATTTAACTCTTGATCTCCTGGAGGCGGCTGCATCCAAGGAGATCAGTTTTCTTGCCGCTTCAATCCTAGGACCACCGACTGATGGCTTAATTTACAGATTCTTCCAGTCCTGGGAGGCAATTTGGTTTAGCTGCTGGTGTTTAAAAGCTGAAGCTAAGGAATAATCCGGGATTGCTGCAAAGAGAGAGGGAGACTAGATTGTGGCTTGAAGGGCAAAAAACTGAGATATGGTGGATCTTTTGCTGTCAACACCATCAAGGCATTCTTTATTTAATTTTTCTGTTTCAGCTGCTGTTCCTTTTGCTGTTTGCCCCTTTTCCCTTTCCTATAAAAATGCATGCAAACTCATTAACTTTAATTGGCAATGTTTTTTCACCATTTAGTTTTGACCGGTTAGTTCAGTAAGACAGTATGCATTACTTTCCCATGCACCGGTCTTATGAAATAGATGTGCAAAGTATTTATTTACAATTTGAAGTACAAACAATATGTACAGAAAACTACAAGCAGCCTTTTGCGGAAAAGCCCCAATAGTCCATGTTAACATAACTGGACAAAAAGGCAATTATAGTTTAGGATTTTTGGTGCCTATCAGATTACAAGGGGGGCCCATGCCATCCCTGGGCACCCCATTGCAATGATCTAGTCTTGCCCCTATCAGCCTCTGTTACTACCTCTAAAGCTGGCTCCCCAATCCCCACCATTGAGCCTCTGTGTCATTTACATTGGAGGCTCTCAGGGATGTGAATATCCCCCTTGAACTGACAGTATGATGGGTCTTGAGAAACTCTGGTGTTTTAATGCTCTACCCAGTGAAAACACTCTGCACAAAGGATAAAAGGAAAGAAAAAGGTTTGTATTGTGATCTGAAGGACACTTTCTGGCTTTGCCCAGGTTTGACATTTTCCGTCCTCTCTTTGGAGTGCTTAATCTAAAACAATTAGGACTCTTACTCTGACATTCGGCTGCTGTAGCCCTTTAAGGGCAAAGAGCCGGCTATCACAAATGACAAGCTTCCAGTCACTACACAGCCCCTGTGTGTCATGGTTGACCTTTGCTGTGCTTTGCCCTGTCTGAACTGATTAACTTTCCTCAGAGGCAGATACACCACAGCTTACTGTTACTGTCTGAAGTCTGATAACAGCTCCTCTGCTCGGACAATCAAGCCGAGTGTGAAGGTGGGTTGCTTTGTTTAATGTTCTCATTTTCAGCTCTGTATCCAAATGTCCTTGAACTTATGAGCTCTTTGAGGGGAAGCAGATAAATTCTATCTACAGATGTGTTAATTGGGCTTTCAGAAGGAAGTCAGCATATCCAAATACTCTGGGGGCTTGCTGGCGATCCAGACCAAAGCCTCAGGAAATCACATGCGATTCAGGCTGACCTTCATATAACGTGCAGTCTGGGGACTGTTCAAATCTGAGATGAATTAGTTTTGCCCACACATAGCAAGAAAAAATATACCACCACAGTGTTTCTCACTACCCACAGAAATACCCTGGAGCCATTAGATGTGGTGCATAAATTTATTCCAACATATATTAACATGTAGTTTATTCATTTTTCTTTCATTAAAGACACATTACATACAGTATTTACATTTGATTCCACAGCAACACTTGCTGACAGAAAACACTTTGATCATTTGATCAGGGTAGACTGGGTTTATGGGAGGCTTCTCCCTAAAGATTAAAAAAAAAAACTCAATATGACACCTTGTCATTAAACTTGATCATTCCTGTGATAACAGTCCATGAAGCGAAACAGTGCACATATCAGCAACTGAGTATAATGATGCTAATGGTGCTAACAAAGCCATAGCTGCACACATCGCAGCACAACTGTCAGGTTAGGGGCTAAAGGTAAACATATGATAGGCTCTGTGATTTTGCTGTGTGATGTTTATTTATGATGTAGTAGGTTATGAACATCATGTCATGATACCCTCTGTACAGTTTTGAACAATAAAGAAATTAGCTATATAGACCAAACCCATTTTATACCAGGCTGTAAACATTTTCATTTCTGATGTGACATGGGTCCAAATGGGAATGATCTGGCTTTTGGAGCCAGTCTCAAGTGGACACTCAAGGAACTGTATTGTTTTCTCACCTCCACATTGGCTTTACTTTTCAACAATGGAGGTTACTGCTCGGTCATGTTATGATGAGTCATTTCACGATATGTCTTGTCATGATGCACCGTGTCATGATTTGTTTGTCATGAAATCTGGTCCAGCTTGCAGCCTGAGTAGTATTCATGACTCATGTTTGAGTGGGATTTGATTGTGTGCAGAAAAATCCTCTATTTGGAGACCAAAAGAAGAGCCTTGGTCAAAATGAAATTTTAAAATCAGCTATTGTCTGACATCTATGACGCATATAATCGATCTCTCTAAACAGATATATGGGAGAAAACAAAATTACTTTAAATAACATCTTTCGAATCCAAATCTGTGGTAGAAATACAGGATGTTGCCTATAAGAGCTGAATTAGCTAAATCCTTAATTATCACATAAAAGCTAGTTTACCTTTAATGACAATAAAGTGACAGATTATGAAACAGCCAGCGCCCAGTATGAAACATCCTCAGCTTCCACAGCTGGACTTTGTGGACAGAAGAGTATGGATGGAGAGAGAAATGAAAGGGAGCCATCAGCAGCTTTAATTAAGGCTGATGAGACTGGATAAAGACTTTGGTCTATTAACTGGCGCAAAAAAAAAAAAAACACTGAAAACGCCGAGAATAATAAGCAAAGCAACTGTCATGAGGAGCTGTGAGAGACTGGGAGGGAGGGGTGGTGACCGGTTGTTTCATATGAGCTCAATTAGAAGCCAAAACCAGAAGACCAGCACTGTCACTATAGCGACAGAGCTGATGTGCTGGGAGTTGGGAGTGGGGAGGAGTGGGAAAATAAGGAAAGTGAGGATGGGCACACAGTCAAACAATGACATGGACACACACACACACACACACACACACACACACACACACACACACACACACACACACACACACACACACACACACACACACACACACACAGACACCAGACTGACATAACAGCAATGCAATTCATGCTGGAAAAATTGATGGTTATGAGCACGCACTGAAGCGTTCACGCTGATCTCACTGGGAGTTTGCTTTCATAACAAAAAGGATCTGTTTGAAAGCTGAGAATGTGAACTGCTCAGGATCAATCACCAACAGAACAGAACAGTACCGGCTGACACAAAGGTCGTCCCTCCAGACGATCGACACCTGCGGGCTCCGTTATGTTCTTGTGATACATTGGGATCGTTTTCAAGAAAACAAGGGAAGATTTTTCTTACAACTACATATTGCAATTGGGAGATAATCTTGCAAATCAAATACTGGAGCACCCTTTGCAAACTAATAGGTGAGGTGTGGACCTGCAAAGCACCCCTTAGTCGCTTTAACTGATTAAATCAAGCCAAAATAGGCTGTAATCACTGGCAAACAGGAAGCACCACAGGGAAATGAGGTTGCTCATGAAACGGTTATTATAAAAGGAAAATGCAGAAATAATTGAAACCTAATTACCAATTTGTGAGGCAAAAAAACATGGTCCAATTCAAATAAAACCCAAAATAGTAAAAGAAAAAAAGAACAGCAGCTGCTACCATTTTATACACTATGATCATATTTCTCTATATTACATTTTGTGATATACTGTACATTTTGTCATATTTTGTTGCTACATACAGTGCATTACCCAGACAGTACCTATAAAACATTAAAACCCCTTCCCCTTTTGTAGAAAAGTAGTACCGCTACATAGATGAACTACCTGATATTATGATGCACTCCTAGAAATATCAAACTATGTACAATACAGAGTCATAGTTTACCTTAAGAATATTCCTCCTTTACAAAACTTGTGCTTTAGCATTTGAAACACACACACACACACACACACACACACACACACACACACACACACACACACACACACACACACACACACACACACACACACGTACACACGTACACACCCAATCACACACACACACACACAGCAGGTAGAAAAGAAAACAATAAAAGGACTTTTTTTTCTTCTTCTTGTCCTGCCTTTTTTTCTAGTCAGAAAATGTACAATCTCTGTTTTCTATTGACTGAACACTGGACATGAATCTCATTGGGAGCAGACCAAAAGGTGGCAGATGTGTTGTCCAGCCTTTTAATGGGTTTCCAGTGCTAATAAAACAGGAAGTGATTCACTGAAGTGTCCTGAGGTGATGCCTATCACAGAGAAGTCTAGACACCTACATGAAAATACATCTTGTACAAACTGCTACAGGAAAAAAAACGTGTTTTTTGTCTGTTTTGCTCTTTTGTAAGACCCTCTCTTGGGGAGTCTTTGACAAACGTTATGCATTGGAAGTTGGCAGGAAGTCCAAGAAATGGCAGTTGAATATAATTGCGTAGATTTCCTCCAGCTCACTGCCCCCATCCCCCCCCCGCCCCCAACTGAACAGTTTTGGCCTCCCCAGAGGTAATATTCTGAAATAAATAAAGCCAAGTAAAGAAAGGTAGAGTGATGGGCGTGAACTGACTGAATCAGTCTTTATGGAGTTTTGAATGATGGAATAAATAGCACCACCACAGTGTAGAGACAGAACAACAAAAGTGTCTAAGAGGAGAGGAGCAACATCAGCAGCAGACTCTTAAACAATGCCAGCAGAGCTCCTCAGCTGAGCTGTCTTTGGTCACAAATCAAAAACTAAACGCCATGTGCCGATGATAGGCTGTCCAAATGTTTACCGCTGATTGATGATTTGCATTTCCACAGCCCGCGATGTGATCCTGAGCTTCTATTTCATGTTCAAGTACCTCTCCTGCTTGACTGGAGTGTCTGTGCTAGTCATTAACACCTCTTCAGAGCTTGTTATAAACTGTGAAAAGCCGTCCAGCCTCCTCTGCTGACACTGGCGCGGTCACACACAGATTTCGATGGCAGTCGCCATCACCATCTGGCTTTTGTTCTTGTCTCGGCCTGGAGACTGGTGCGGTCCAGACTCTTCTCTGGGAGACAACGGGTCGGAGAGGACACTGCGTTTGAGTGGCGCCGGGCGCAGGCACGACGTCCCTGGAGGGGTTGAGGGCTCAGGGTGTCTGTGGGAGGAACGGGACGTGGTGGAGGTCGAGGAGGAAGTGCAACTGCCGGTGCAAACTCCAGAGGCTGACCTCTCGCCCCTCTTGGCTCTGCAGGACGCTCTTCGCCTGAGCTCGCTGACCAGCTCGTACTTGACAAAGCAGAAGACGTCTTTAACCCCGCAGCGTTTTTCCGGCTCAGCGGCGAGCAGCCTTTGAAACATGCGCAAGGCATCATCAGTGAAGCGGCGCCACTGAGACGGATATGTTCCCACCGGACATCCCGCTTTCTGCCAACGCCGAAACTCTTCATAAAAGGCGTCGGCCGGCAGCGCTGCTTCCCACGGGAAATTTCCTGTCAGCATACAGAAGACCAGCACGCCGAACGCCCACACATCCAGACTGGTGGTCACGAGGAAACCCTCAGCACGGCTCGCCCGGCACACCTCTGGCGCTGTGTAGGGGATGGTGCCACTAACCCTCTTCACGCGGCAGCCCACTCTCCTCGTCATGCCGAAGTCAGCTAGCTTGATGCGGCGGCACTCACGGTCAAATAGCAGCACGTTCTCCGGTTTGACATCCCGATGCACCAAGTTTTTACTGTGCATGAAGTCCAGGGCCAAGCCCAGCTGCTGCATGCAGCGTTTGACCATTTCCTCTGGAAGACCCACCTGAGGAGAAGAGAGAGGAGGGAAGATGAGTGGAAAGAATAATATATATGATTTTTTTATTAAAGCAGGCCAATGAAATAGTTGTTGGGTGGGGGTTGTTGCTGCTGTATAAACTCAATGTTGAAACAGACTGTGGATTATAACGCGGTTTAATCGACCGAGGTCAGACAGTTACAACACAACACAAATTGTTAACAATCATGAACTGACAAAGTTTCTGTTAACAACTTTCTTATATTCTGCTAGAAGGTACATCCTACAAATTCTTGTCTACTTTGGTACATCTCTATAAGGCAAGAAAGAAGACATCAGCTTGACTCGTAAATGTCAGACATATACAGTACATTTCAGTCTTAGCAAACCTTCTCTTAAAACAGACAGTTGGCTCCAAACCAAATATAACTCTGCTGCTCTGAGATGTTTTACATAGATCTGGTTTCAGCTTCAACCTAAGAGAAGAGTTACTCTTAGATGGTCGACAAATTTAAATGGTTCATTCACAAAGTTACCAAAATGTATGAATTCATGAAAATTTGTACTATCAATAGTGAATGTGTATGGTGTGAGTTTATGGGAGGTTATGCAAGAAAAGAGATGATGTTGTACAGGTTGAAATGTGATATGCTCCACATAGAAAAACTGTGAAAAGAGTCCTCATTATGAGTTTCACTGCAACCATTTTTTAATGAGTCTCCAGAAGAATTCTGAAGTCGAGCAACTCCTGCACATCAACAGAAGAACTAAAGCAAAGTGAGAGCTCTGCGCAGAGAGGAAAACCAGGACGAATACAAGGCTCCAATCCCAGGGGAGCTTGTTAAAAGCACTGTATTTGAACATGGCTGCTGATTGGAGCAGCTTTGGCTGAGTGAGGATGTTGATTGGGTGGAAGGAAGGACGTTAGCCGTACCTGTGGGGGGATGATGTCAAAGAGGTCCCCAGCTGGAGCGTATTCCTGTCCAAACACGTAGCTGTCCTCCGTCTCAAACAGGACGTCCAGGACTTTGATGATGAAAGGGCTGCAGCTAAGTGAGCCTGTTAGACTGTACTCCCGCAAGAAACTTTTGAGCTTCGTCTTGTTCTTGGTGACAAACTTCAAGGCCATTTTGGTACCTGGGAATATTAGACACAAAGATGTCAAATAGAAGGTTTATGGTGAAGTATTATCCAAAACATTTAAAGTGACTTTACCTGATACTCTAAGGAAGTGAAAATACTACCCAACTGGGATTTTATACCAGCTGCTACATTCATTCATATACAGTCTACAAATGAATAAATCTCACCTCCAATGCACACTTCAAACCAGCTATTCACAACCTTAGCTGCAGAATACAGACACTCAGTATAATAATCTCTGCTGCCCCCCTCAGCCTCACTCAATGCTACTTTACAACTGTCAGACCAAGCAAGTTCAATAACTTTGATTTTCTTACAAGAGAGTATTAACATTAGACCTAAAAAAAATCTCACATATTTAAAAAAAAAAAAAAAATAGAATAGGCTCTGGGCAAAAAAAAAAAAAGCCATCAAACTAATCTATCTTAACGTGTTTTCCTCAACTGTGAGGCGTGCTGGCATGAAGTTAATCTCTATTAACAGATTCTGCTTTAGAAGACAGAATAGGGGCTGGAAGAACAAAATTGTTTGGTGTCAAAATCAATTAGACTTCTGTGTGGTATCGTCCACTTGAATTTTAGAAGGCTTGACTGTATTCAGTAAAAAAGGCATTGTCAAAAGGCTTCTGCCATGATGCAATCCAAGAACCCCCCTCTGCCATCAACTGGTGAACATCAAGCTTCTTGTTAATCTCTAAAAACAGACATCTGCTTTTTATTCAGCTGTACTGCCGTAGACGTTGTGTCTCAACTCTAGCCTCTTTCACACATGCACTGCACTCGTGGTGGTCTGCATGTGTTGATGCAAATAGCCAAATGTTAACTCAACTTTGTGCAGAATTTTTCCTGCCAGCCTCCGAGTAAAATCTTCCCGAGAAATTGGGGTGGAACGATGAACGAATGCAGCAGGTTATATTCAGGAAACATTTTACCACTAGCAATGTTTTTGTCACGTGACCGGTGTGAAACCAGTGGGATCTTTTCTCATAGTCCACTGCACAGCTCCTACATTGCACCTTTTGTACATTTTATGTTTTTTATTTTTTATTTTATTATTATTTCATTAATTATTTAATATTTGACATTTTTTAATTATATTTTATATATTATAATATCTTCTTATACTGTATTATTTAAGATATTGCTAGTTCTACTTTATTTCCTTGTTAATTTTTTAGCACCAATACACCAAGTCAAATTCCTTGTATGTGTAAATGTACTTGGCAATAAACCCTGATTCTGATTCTGATTCTGATTCTGATCTTTCAGCATGCACTGAAGTTGCTTCACACTCATTTCTGCTTGCTAGTATGTCCTGTTCCACTCTTTCCTTGATATGATATTATGTCCAATACAAAGGCAAAAACTTTCCTCATAGCATCTGACCGTTGCTTCCGTCCACCATCTTGGATATGTTGTTAACATATCCTTATTACATCATGACCCGCCTCCTGAGACTCCCTCTGCCCCTCCAACTAGAAACATCTCGCGAGGTTCATCTGTGAAAGGGCGACTCAGGAAATGTCAAGGCAGGCTGTCCTGAACTTTTTTTAGACATTTTCAGGAGTGCATGTGAAAAGGACTTCAAACTATTTTCATATCTCAAGGTCATCTTCTGTGGGAGCCCCTGAAAGTTGGCTGTCGCTCCTAGAGGCTTTGTCTGTGTTAGACAATAGTGGGTGTGATAAGTGATTTCTGGACTGTCAATTTTGTATGTATTTTGAATCAGGCATGATGGTAAGGGTTTTACTTCACAACAGAATTAGAGGATAAAGATCTTTGGCCAACTCACCTTGTGTCCGATGAGCCACCAGGTCCACTTTCCCGTATGTGCCCTTCCCCAGCTCTTTGATGTGCTCATACTGTTTGGCTACATCTGCTGCAGACAGAGAGGTGATGGCCAAGGCTTGCATGTCCTCCACAGGAACTCCTCCGCAGTAGCCCATTTTGGACGTAGGAGAGCCCCCACCGCTACCCACCCGTCCGGGCCCAGATGGAGATAGGGATAGGCTCGCCTTGACACTGTGCGGCAGACTAAAGGACAAGGAGAGACCGGTCTTTAGAGAACGGTTGGATTTTTTATTCTGCTATGATTATGTTAGGCAGTTTAAATTGATGTGTTTATGACAAAATGCTCCTCAGTAGCTCAATGTTTCTTGGCACAAAACCATCTATTCATGCCCGTGCAACATTTCCCAGAGGGTGGTTAAATCAGGACGGTTTTAACAGACCCTCATTTCCATACAATCGATTCAGGGAAGGCATCAACAGAGAGAGTGCTTTCAGTAAATGTATTGGACTTCCTGCTGTCCCTGTAGATCACTCTCCCTGCTTTCAGATATGGCCGGTCTCAGACAGCACTTACTGGCAGACAGCTACGGGAAAATCAATGCGAGCAGGTAGAAGGACTAACAAATGGAAACAAATGGAGAGAGCCGACAGCCTTGCGGTGTATAAATGTTAAGGTATACCACCTATCACCTGTGACTGCTCTTTTCATGCAAAGATAACAATACAGGTGGCTGGGGGACAAGATAGGGTTTCTTTTAGCCTGGAAAAAATTTTCTGGTTTGCACAGCAGTTGTTTGAAAGTTTTTGGTGAAACTGCAAAAGCTACAGAATAAAATTGTTGCTGATTTTCACAAGTGCAAAGTTTGAAATAGGTCAAGCTGATGCTTAGAGGGGAAAAATAACTGTGATGGAATCAGACACCCTGAATGTGCTAACTGACAAAACTCAGCAAATGTTGATGATTGACTGTTCATCCCTGTAAATGGTGAGTAAAAAGAAAGGAAAGCTAAAAAATTTTAAATGAAATGGACCTTTTCAGTAAATGAAGTGGATCCCACTAATGATCTTAGCCACTGTAGCTTGTCAACCCCCTCCCAACATAAAACAATTACATTTAATCATCCAATCATGCATAATATGCTCACACATACACACACTAATAGGCATCAAATCAGCACAAACAATTTCGCTGATGGCCTTTTTTCATCCATCATTCAAAGACAACAGCTTTGCTGTTTGTCTGTTCTCTCCCTGCAGCCCACTTTCTCACATTGCTTCTTTTTTTTTAACTAGAGCGTCTCAAATCTGTTTATGTCAACTATTAGGTGCATTTTGGAAGCTAACATTCAGTTGATGAAAACATGGCAAGAAGAAGCTTTTATTGAGATGCTCTAAAAGGTGTTGAGGTTCCTCAGCTATCTTGTGGGAAGAGTGGGATAAATATAGCGATTAGACTGCGAGAAAACTAAAATAGGATGCGACCATTCGCAGCAGCCTTGTGTTCTTGGCTCGTCCCTCTTTATCCAAGAATGAAAAACACTGCTGTGGAAAGAGTACCTGTAGAAATGTCCTGCTTCTTGAGTTTATCAAAAGTATGATTATATAAGAGACTATGAATATTGTAGCCTACTCATACTGAGCGTGCCCACTGTATAGCCCTCAGCGAGTCAACACAAAGGTTGATTCTTATCCAGAACAGTCTGTAGTCCAAATTTGGTGATTAAACATAAAAAAACAGGACAGATAGACATTTCCTCCCGCCCGCCCTCCCTGCACGCCCCTCAAAAGCCTCCATCACCGAGATCAGAGCAAAGCGAGGGGAGTGCTTGTTTACCGGCTCTTTCCACAAGCAGAATGTGCTCCAGCATGGATCTTAATCACATTAGTCAGCGCCCACAAAGACAAAAACACACCCAACCTAAAAGCCCAAGATGCTTTGCTCTCATTTCCTCTGCAGAACTGGATTAAGAGTCCTGAAGCGATGAGTGGTTGGGAGATGGTATCTCTACGCAGCTGTAAATGTGAACCAGAAACTGCGGTTTAGCGCAGTCCGGAGGTGTGCGGACCAAGTTATGTAGTCTGTGGGAGATAATTGTGTTTGTGTGTGTGTGTGTGTGTGTGCTGAGTGTGTGTGTGTGTGTGTGTGTGTTGAGGGGAGGTCGAGTGTATCAGTCGCTAAGTGACACTCTATCAAAGGCCCTTTGTGTCCCTACATCTGGGAGGGAGCAGCTGTGAGACTCCGCACGACTCAGCATTCATGTTCAACTACAACCACAAGGCTGGCTGATCTCCCATGATGCCCTCTGCTCCTCTGCTGTCCTCTGAGGCGTTTAAAGACAAGGTAACAGCAACAAACCCCACATACAGATGATATGTTTGATTTAGCTTTAGAAACGACTTATTCTGAGGTTTTTTTGTGCAAACCTTGGTAGCTTTAACTGTAATTATCACATCTTAATTGTAAATCTAAATTAACAAAAGTCTAACATTTAAGAGCCATAAATTGCAAATCTGTTAAAAAAAAAAAATAACCATGTTTTTTTCACTCTCAAAAGTTGGAGATACAAGGTTTTCTCTCTCAGCAGCAACAATCTGTTTTCCAGCGATTAATTTCCTCTCAAAAACAGATTGACAATTCCGCTCCATTTAGGAATTACTCAGAAAGGGCTGAGCGCATTTGCAATTTAACCCTCTTTAAAAAAAAGCAGGTTGTTCCTGGAGAAAAAAAAAGAAGCTAAGCATAATTTTTTATGTCCCACTACGCAACGTGACGGCCTGGCAAACCTGTTGAAGCCATCCCCAGGTGTCATGATATTAAACTTCACGAGCAAGTGACCTTTTTCGCTTATAAACACTGAGTACAAGATGAGGATACAGATGAATCTCTTTTGTTGTTGACTGTCTCATATGGTAGTATGTTGCTCATTCCATAAGTCTAACACTTCGGTCCAGCTTTAGACGTACATTTTGCACAGAAATGTATTCTAGAGGATAGCTATATCTAAATAGTTTTTTATGAATGCCTGTTGCTGCTGTTGGGTTGAAATCTAGGTAATTTACGACATGCAAACTAAACAGTTCTTAACTTTGATTTTACCTTTGACTATTGCTACTGTTTTTATGGTTTTATTGAAATTGTAGCACTTTGAGATTTTCGTTTAAATGTAAAGTGTGTTATAAATAAAATGTATTATTATTATTATTATTATTATTATTATTAATATTAATATTAAACAAGCCTATGTTTACAGGCTTTGCAGGGGATGATAATTCTTTATAAATAATACTAGTTTGTCCAAAGAGGAGGCCAAAATGACACAAATCTTCTTTTAGTTCTCATTTTCCAGAAATGGGGTGTGCTAAGTGAAATCCATGCTCCATTGATTCCAGGATAAAATGAAATAATTGTGGCAACCCTAAACCTTTTATCGAGCACCGTTGTAATTGCCAAACTGATTAAACCTTGATTTACTTTGATTTATGAATAAATCTTATTCCTGTACATTCATCAGACATGGCTGTACCTTTTGAAAAGTGTGAGTTAACCAGCATGCTAGCAAACTTCTTAAAGAGGCTAAAGATGGCGAACATAAGACCTACATGTTAGCATTGCTTGCCTGAACAACACACCCCCACCCCGTTGCTCCCTATAAAGTTTAATTTACCTGCTTTGTAACATAACAATGAGTAAGGTCTTTTACCTGCTCTTTTGTAACATAACAATGAGTAAGGTCTTTTACCTGCTTTTTGTAACATAACAATGAGTAAGGTCTTTTACCTGCTTTTTGTAACATAACAATGAGTAAGGTCTTTTACCTGCTTTTTGTAACATAACAATGAGTAAGGTCTTTTACCTGCTTTTTGTAACATAAGATCAACTCTAGCGTTGTCAAAGTGTGTGGGAGGCAGAGCGCTCAAATGGACACTTTTTGACTATATTGTCGTGTGACTCTCAATAAAGACAATAATTGTGTATTCAGTAAGAAGTTGGCTCTTCCAGGGTAAACCATGTGAGTGATACAGGTGTATTTCGGTAAAAGGGGTTAACTTATGGAATACTTATGCCATGGAATTAAGAATGTGTAGTTCACTTTCCAAATTTAAATTTCTGTTTAAAAAATGGTGTTTAACAAATATAAAAGGTTGGTTTGATTATTTTTTGAGTGTGACTTCTGTTTTTTTTTTGTTTCATTTGTTTTGTTTTGAAAGAAATTCTTGGAAGAAATTTTGTTCTGATATGTTTTGTTTTTTTTGTAACTAAACTAGTTGTGTCTTAAATAACAAGATTTGTAACAAGGGTAGGTGTAATAAGATAAAGCTTCAGCCTACACCTTTTCGGTCAAAATGTTTTTGTTTTTTCTTGTGACCGAAATAAATGATTACTACCACTACAGTTGCAATGAACTGTGACACAACATTGATTAGTGCATTAAGAATTTATAGGAGTGAGGATCCTGAATTAATACAGATACACGTGAGGAAATGAGCTTAATTGAAATCGTGAGATGATTAAAATCAGCTGTAAAAATATGTATTTTATCGACAACAGGCAGTAAGGGAGGTCTCAAGGTTAGCAGCTTTACACACAGTGTTTTCCCTTTTACACCAAGCGTTCCCGCCTCCTCTCCTCTTTGTCTCCTGTCTTGAAAATGTAAACAAGGGACTAATGAAAGGAATAAATAGACGGGAGAGCCTGCCTCGCGTCTCTACCTCTCTCCACTACTAATGGACCAGTCGCTTTGCTCTCTGCTGAAGAGTCATTATGGTTGAAGACTGATCTCTCATGTCCAATTTACTGTCAGAATGCTCAACATGCCTCTCGCCTGTGGGTCAAAGAGAGTGAAATAAGGTGTGACTGATGTTGGTTTTTCTCTGTCACTTCTGAAAATTAAAAAGACTGCATGCATAGACTAACTAATGGATTGTACATATTTGTATCCGTCTGTGTGTCCTCCCTCTCCTCTCATCTTGGGGAGTGCAAACAAATCACTGTGATCCTAAACAATCTATCACTCAATCAGAACTAAAATAGGCTTCTTGGTGACAGCCAGTTGCAGCCAGGACACTCTGTTCCCCATCAGAGATTTAAAAAAAAAACTGAATCACCTTCCTCTAAAAAATCAGAGCCAGTGGGTTGGCGGCTATAGTGCCTCCTTCAACACAAGGCTGGAGAAACTTCCTGCTGTGCCGTGATAGGTGAATCAGCGGCCCAGGCCACGGACACTCCCTTTGACAAATCACCTGCTCTCGGGACCCTGCTGTGACCAAGTGCTGTATAACCCTGACTTTCCTCACTTCTATTCTTGTTTCCATTATCCTCTACTCTCTCTTCTTGGAGTCACACATCACATGGACCAAATTCACACTGTGGCCATTTTCATCAAGACGATGCACTCGGGATGGGATGTAGAAAATCTGACAAATCATCATCAATTTACTCTGTCCTTATGATCAGCAATGGGAAAGACAACCATTTTAAAAATCTGAAGGGACCGCAGCAGTGTTTCAAGTTAATGCAACATATTTGTGAACGCATTAGCCAATCAACTGTGGATGAATCACTTCCTAGCTAGCATTTCTATTTGATAATGTTTCTGAATTCCTGTTAAACATTGAACTGTTAGCTAATGTAGTGTTGGCTGATTAGCTTGATAACTTGGTAGGCTATGCTAACACAGAAACTTGTCATTAAAGTTGAAAATAGGAAAGGCATAAACTCCAAGCTAACTGAAATGTATCCCTTTCCTGTCGATTCCTGCATGCTATCAAATAGAAATGCTAGCTATGAAGTGGTTGAATGTTAATGCTAGCTATTGTGTTATATTTATTTCTCATAAAGGTAGTTTTACTCTTAAATATAACCAAATGACCTTCCAGAGTTTACCATCCAATGTGTTAACTTTTCTACTCAATTGGGAAGCAAAATCTTGATTTGCAATACAGCGATATTATCTTTTAATAGCATCAGAGGACCCATTCTGAACATGACATCAGACCATTGGGGCAAAATGGTGGTAACACTACTATCCATCGGATCCTGCTTGGATGACCTAATCCTCTGGAAGGTGTAACCCAAAATAAAAGGGACCCAGAGAATACAAAGATGCAAAGGTCAAGTGAAGAACAAATGGGAACACTGATCCATCTAAATCCTGTAAAAACAAAACCAACAATGAAACATTCAGCTCCAGAAAACATCAGTATTGTAGTTCAGGATTAAGGCTTTGGGATTAGAAACCAAAGAGCGCCATGTTATCATCACCCTTATTCCAATCATGTACTGTGCTTGAAAAAAAAAACATAATTTAGCGGTAAAACATCACTGCAATAAGCTACCCAGGGAACATAGTGTACTGTACCTAACCCCCACTCTATTACTCTATTACAATCCAGTAGCCTCAAATTCTAACAGGGAGACTCCATGTGACCACGGGGGGGGTTGGGGGAATCCAATGAGAATTGAAGCAATCCCTTCCTTTGTATGCTAAAGACTCCATCCCTTTGATGTCCAATAGATGAGGAAATGGGACTCTAATATGGGCTCAGAAACGTGGTCTAAACAAGGAGGTTGCTTAATGATGGAACAGCACTGCTAAGGAGGACTTATATTCCCATTTTGTCCTCCAAGGCAAGCTAGCAGTGTACAGGGATAAAGCTCATGCACAATAACCTCTAAACACAATCAGTGCACTAATGCTGATTGCTGAGGGTGTTTTTAACCCCTCCCTTGCTCTACCCCCCCCCCCCCCCCCATCTTAAATTCAAATCCATGTATCCCATCTTAAATTCAAATCCATGTATGCTTTGATTGCATGACAGGGTATTAGCAGTTGTTGCAAAGGCAATGTGGAATATGTGGAATACAACTAATCTCAGAACAAATTCATTCTGTTTGTATACCAAATATTGTTAAACCAAATAATGAAAGAACTATAACAGATCATCTTTAAAATATGACATTTGGTAACAAGATCCATTAACACAGATTGTGCTTAATATACTTGTTAAGCTATGATCACGTACGCCCACGCATATATGTTGATTGACAGGTCTGTCATTAGGCAGCTGTTTACTCACTGACATGGTGGAAGGTAAGGATGTAATCTGCACATACTTCATAATTAATATTGAAAGACGAAGCAAAAAAAATGCCTCTCGTCCTCTATTTGTCCTGGAGCAGACAATGCTTTTATCCTTTCTGTTCCCTGGGAAACCATGTTTTTCTAATAACAGCTAATCTAAATCTGACGGTTCTCGTTTTCTTTAACTGAACTGATTCATTTTTAAAAGCACCTTTTATGGAATTTGGTCAGACCTTGATGCAAACTGCATTTCTTTGTATTTTGTTTCTGTGCAGCTGGGTTGATGGGTTTAGCTGACGTGTGCCAGCTGGTGGACTGGGTCATTGTCTGGATGTAAAAATTAATAAAATTATCAATAATATTACCCTTTTCTTCTTACTTATCATATATACTTATACCCACAGGCCATATTTTGCACATGTCTACAAATACTGAGGTTGTTTTGCTTCATTTTAAGGAAAATGAAGTTTCATAATAATTTTTGCAAAGTGGGCTTATGATGAAAATGACATCCTTACATGCACATGTAAGCTCATAAGAGGGGGTTTGATTCCTCATGTTAAAAGTAGATTATTACCTAACAATGCTAAGTGTATTAAATTTCATCAAGTAGGGTTTATATGATTACTTGCTGTTGTTGTTTACACGGCACAACAAAATGGCAGCGTTCGGTCTGTATTTTACAGTTTTGGGGACTATAAGAAACACACCATCCAGTGAGACAGCTATTCTGAATTCTGACACTGATTTTTTTTAATCACGTGATGAACTTCCCCTTTGAAGTATTACAACAGCCAGAGTCCATTATCAGCCTGAACTTTGTTTTTAGAAGGTTTTTTCATGGGCAGGTCAGTAGCTCATTTAAATGCATTAGACAGCATTAAGCATGAGATATCACCTGTCTGCTCTGAACAAAGTATAAAAGGACCATTAGAAGCAGAGTGCCCTGGATGCCCTCATATCCATCAAGCTGGATCACGAAAAGTAGAGTGGAAACACATACATATAGGGGCAGGTATCTCGAGTTGTGGGGGTGAAATTAGAAATTCAATCCCAGCTCAAGTATTAAACCTATATAGTTATTCATATCCTAATGCAATTAAAGTGATAGTGCTGTATAATATCTGCTGACATGTATGCTTTATAACACAGCAGGCTTTCCATGACACATGTTTGATACACTCATAGATAATATCTGAACAGTTAGTCTAAGTTTAGACATAGAGTCAGTGTATCATTTCATATCAATCAAGATCACACATGCTTAATACTTCTTTATGCATGGAAAATGAATATGTTTCATCTTTTTCTTTGCAGAGCACAGATGATGTAGTCTGACCTTATTTCAGGTACCTCAGAGTGCATCAAGGTGTTATTCACTCACCTGCTGGCGACCTGTCTCTCTCCTCCATGGTCCTGCATCCGCTCGGCGCGCAGAGCTGCTGCGCTCTGCTCTGATCTGATCTGATCGGCTGGGAAACTGATGGATGGATCCCTTCGTTGTAGAGGGAATTATCGATCAGTAACAGAAGGTGCGAGGAGAACCGTGCAGGTCTCTTAAAGAAGATACAAGAAAAAAGCTGATAGAGCTTGGATGAGGTCCGTGCGTTGTGCGTTCTTTCCTTCTTCAGAAGATGATTCCAGTCCTGCGTCTGGAGATGCTTTTTCAGTTTGTGATTTACTTCGGAGGCGGATTAAATCAAAGCATCATCTGATGATGGGTGCTTCTGAGATGAGGACACAGGCTGGGATCCCTCCTCTGAGCGCCCACCATCTCAACCTGCCAGGCAGCAGCAGCAGCGTGAGGAGGAGGAGGAGGGTGCAGCGTGTTTATCTTTTGCTCCTCCAGTGGTCCGCATGACCCACTTCGGTACCACACACACACAGACACGGAGGCGAACCCATTCATTCACATCCACGCGAGGGGCTCAGTAAATCTCTACTCTCTGCAGCACGCGTGGACTAATCAGCGCGTCTCTGAAAAAAAATATTTCTCAAAACTCAGCGTATTGCGCGCACTGACAAGTCCGTCTGTGTGTTTCGTCGGTCGGTCCAGCGGCACTCGGGGGGTGAGTGAGGAGAGAGGAGGGGGGGTTTGGTCTCAAATGTTGCTCCTGTGCTGGTCCTACCAGTCAGCTCCCTCATTGTTCACCGTCTCCACCCTCTGGAAAACTAATACGCGCACATGTCCCGGGTCCTAGCGCCTGTACCGTCTCTTCCAAACAACCACAAACCTCCGTGATTTTCTCGCTCTCAAAACTTTTGATTCATGCTTTGAAGGAACAAGCTGCTGCACTCTTGCATAATTCAACAGCTTATGGCCTCGAGTCCTTCACGCGCCGACTTTGCCAACTGTCCTTATTAGGTAACAGCGAGGCAAGACTTTCGATTAATTCCCGGCCCTGGCATCTCCCCCCTTTATTGTACATGTTTAACGACAGGCCTCCTGCCAGACGTGGGTGCCAACAAGAGCAGATTGGACTGAGAAAACAGCGTCGATATAACAGGGGGACCTTAAACGCATCATCACCTAGAACCCCTGAATCATTTGATGAAATGATAAGTGCGTGTTTGGAAAGATGAAATCCCTGGAAGATGATTTAATGAATAGAGATGCTCTTCAAGTGTTACTGTGTTGATTTCTCCCATATTTAACTACAGATTATTTGTATAGTTCTATTAAACCTCACTGTTCCATCACACATTTTCTAAACACATCCATGCACAAGCCCCCTTTTTTGCATTAAAGAGCCTGTTTATGTGCTGCCTTATATTAATTTGGGGATATAGTGGTAGAGTCAGCCATCTCTCAATCTTAGAGGTTCAGTCCCCATGCAGCTCCTGCAGCCACATGTCAAAGTTTCATTGGGTATGACACTGAACCCCGAATTGGGAATTTGTATGAATGGATTAGTTAAAACGGATGGACTTAAGTCCATAGCAGCCTCTGCAATCAGTGTGTCAATGTGATGTGACCTGCCACGTCAAAGGTGCTTTGAGTAGTCAGAAGACTAGAAAAGTCCATTTAACATTTATATGTGTTGTATTTTATTTTTTATGCTGCTTGTGTTTATGTTTATTATCTCGATAAAGCTGAAACTTCCCTTGGTTTTGTTCTTTTTTTATATTGTTTTCTTTAAATCACTTTGGTACGGAAGAGGATTAGGGCCACACATAAAAAAAAATAGAGTTCTCACTTTAAAGTCAGAACTACGGGTACTTGTAAGGACCAACTCCGGTGGATAGTCACTGTGCAGGACCGTGCAGGACTGACTGGAGCATACTGTGGGAAACAGCAGCAAAAACCGTGGCATGCTTTGTCACTGCTGTGTGCACAGTTATAGTTTAATGATACTGTATTTTTGTTTTTTGAGTTGCAAGATGGTGTACCACCCAGGTGAAACTTTTGTGTAAACTACTATGGAATTGCTTAAACGAGTAGCCAACTTACTCTTTTCACCACATTTACATTCAGTTCTTTAGTTGAATGTTGATGAAGCCCCTTATTCCATATAGGTAAAAAGAGATAGGGTAAATAAGGTTTAAAAAAACAGTATTTTGACAATGTTACAAAGCATTTTGTTATCATTCATATTGGACACAAATGTAAGAAAGATATTAGTCCGCTGAAGGAAGTGTGTGGACAATTATGAAATGCAAAATGAATAACATTTGACTATCCACCGGAGTTGGTCCTTACAGGTACCTGTAGTTCTGACTTTAAAGTCAGAATTCTGACTTTTTCTGAGAATAAAGTCAGAATTCTGAGAATAAAGTCAGAACTCTATTTATTTTATTTTTTTTATGTGTGGCCCGAATCCTGTTCCGTATTTTGGTAAATAATAATTGTAGTTTTTTTATGCTGCTGCATGAATGACTTGGCTTGTATTGGACTGATGTTAGCTGCATCTCCATCACCTCTCTGAAACATCCAGGTGTCTAAGAGTTAAGCCAAACAGGCAGATAGGAAAATACTTTCCCCTGGTTTAACACAAATAGGGTTGTGATTAATCATAGTGAAGGTCGAGCGCTGCAGGCTGACAGCAGAGCGCACAAGGGGTCAAACACACCAGGGACACACACACACACACACACACACGCACGCACACACACACACACACACACCTCTGAGCTGCGAACAAATAGAGCAGGTCTGCATCCAATGCTCCTCCTCCTCCTCTCTCTGTGTTCAGACACCATGTTCACGTCCTAGTTTTTACTTTTTATGTGTCACCTAAAGTTTTCGTAGCTCGTTGAAGGGGGAGGTGGCCTTGTTTTCACACTGTTCTCAAATTCATCTTCATGCAGAGTTTACTTTGTTACTTTGTGTCCTGGATGTGCTTTAAACTTCAGTAGAGGGTATTTACACAGGACCCCACGCGGAGGGGGGTCTAAAGTTTGTGCAATAAGATTTTACATGTTTTTCAGCTTGTTTTTTAAGGATCAGTTTGTTATGGACTAAGTTCTATAAATAAAGGTCCCTCAACTCTGTTTCCATGGCACCAACTATATACCTTCATGGACATCTATAACGACATGCTCATTTTAAGATTTCATCTTAAAGAAAAGGAGAGAGAGCGTTGAAGTCCTCGGCCATGCCCGTGTCTATAATTAAGATTGAGTACATTAATGGTGTTTTCTTTAAAAATGTTCTTTGAAAACCATCAACTGCTAGTAATCTTGATCTTCTCAAAAATGTTGGAGGCAACTTTGTGCAGAAAATACAACAATGATTACACAACATTTGCATTAAACAGCAGATTTCATTGAACATGTTTGGTAATATTTAGCCAAAGAAAATATTGGTTAATCTTGAATAACAAAGCCATCTGCAGTCTACCTGACTCTCCACAGCAAGTCCTCTCTGTAACCAAGTCTCTTTTCTGGTTTAACCAACAACAGATCTTCAGCAGCTCGTGCTATAGCAGTCTTTTTGTTTGTGCTTTGCTTTACCAAACACCAAAGCCTGCTTCATATATGTTTTATATGTTTGATTGTCCCAATAGCGGGACTACATTTCCCAAACATCCACCGGGTTTTTGCTCCCTCCGGTTGGTTAGCAATGGATGACGTCATCAACATGCGCGTAACCGTGTGCTTCAGCTGTGCTCTGTAAACTAAACTGTAGACTGTAATCATTCAGGTTGAAACATTAGTTTGAATGTTACACTCGGTCACCGGGATTATTCTGGAACAATGAGCAGATATATTTTACCAGTTTCTGTTTTCGGAACAGTGTTGGGAAGCGCTGTTCTCCTGAAGTGAGTGACATAATGCCAGTTTGTATCTTTAAACCTGAATGTACTGATACACAATATGCCGTTTAAGTTCAGACTTATGTTTGATGAAATATATTAAATACCTTTAAAAGACTTGATACTTCTGCTGCGTCTAGCTAATAGAATGAATTTGTATGATGAAACCTGTCACAGTCACAGAGGTGTTCAGAATAGTGTTTGTAGCAGTGTGACTTAAAGTCCTGTTTTTAGATATGTTTTTAAATGTATCACAACGTTGTTGTTTTTTATTTAATAAATTTTATAGCTGTTAATGACATTGTTTACTTCTACAGTTGCTAAGGCTAATGTGCTATTGGAAACAATTCTTAATTTGTCCATGTGTTATTATTGTCAAACTTATGATACAATATGAATCAGTGTGATTCTGTACCATGCTCTTTATTTGTCCCCTATAGAGAAATGAGGGAGATTAAATAGTTCTATACGACTGAATGAGCCACAACAGACTGTGTTGATATTCTTCTTGAATCCTCATTTTCCTCCTGTGGCTCTGATAATGATGATAATGTGGTCAGCATGTTATAGTAGAAGTTCATATGTAAACAATGTTCATGGTTAATTGATTTAAAGGTGCGTGGCAGGAATAGTTGCTTTGTTTATAGTATTTACAGATTGATAGAGTTAGGATTCATATTTACACTCATTAAATAAGTAAAGTGATTGAATACTTACATGGATCAGTTTGATGCATAACATGTAGTTACTGAGTGGAAAACTACATCATTAGCACCAGTAATTGAATCTAGGGAGCAGAGGAATTTGGACTTAATTGAACTTAAAATAAATAAACAGACAAGCAGAGAGTGCAAACACACAGTCTCTCTCTCTCTCTCTGTCTCTCTCTCTCTCTCTCTCTCTCTCTCTTTTTGTACAACTTTGGAACATGTTGGATTGCTCTATATCTGTTTTTTGTTTTGTTAAACTTTTATTGAGTAATCCTGTGGATTCTGTGACGTTGAGTATGGATGAGGGAGTTGTTAGAGCTAAGGCTTCGGTAGAAACTTACATGAAGGTCTGAAAACTAGGTCTGACTCCCTCTTGATTCAGCATTGAATAGGACCCTCCTACACGACCATAGTCAATACCACAAAAAAGGTCAACACTAATGTTAGTGGATGGACCTCTTCTTAGGAAGAACTAGATAAACTGTTGAAGCCCAACACTACATATTTTTTTTCTCAGTCCACTGCACAGCTCCTACATTACACCTTTTGTACATTTTGTGTTTTTTATATTTTATATTTTACATTTTTAAATTCTATTTTATATATTGTAATATCTTCTTATACTGTATTATTTAAGTTGTTGCTAGTTCTGCTTTATTTCCTTGTTAATTGTTTAGCACCAATACACCAAGTCAAATTTCTTGTATGTGTAAATGTACTTGGCAACAAACCTCGATTCTGATTCTGATTCAAATGAATTCAACTTTAATTACATAAAAACACAAAGACTGGATCTTTTGGGACCCTGCTCTTGTTACCTGCTAAGTCCATTTAGCTTTGAGCAGATGAATGCTTTTACTTTTTATTCTCTAACATAAATCTCACCATCCTCCTAAAGATATGCTCCTAGGGGATTCATTGATGTTTGAAGTGAGTAGACCTGTTCTGTCATGCACATGAGCCTGACAGACTACAGATAGAAAAGACATCAGATGTAACAGACACATCTGAATGTTTGTTTATGAGTCTGATATCAGAGCGATGACCAACTCAAGTGCATAGACAAAGATGTAAATGACCTTGTTCTGATGCTTTTTATAGGAACCATGTTACTGGAGGCCGTTGTCCTAGTAAAGCTACCATTACTGGGAAGACTGTTATTATAACCGGAGCAAACACAGGCATCGGGAAAGCAACCGCCCGAGAACTGGCACAGAGAGGTGTGAAAGATTTATGATGTCCCTCTGATTTGGTGTAAAAGGAAAAAATATAAACGCCTCCAACTGTTATTATGCTCTGCAAAGCTAACTCCTGTGTTCCCTTCTTACATCGTCAGGGGGGCGGATCATTATGGGATGTCGGGACATGGAGAAGTGTGAAGCAGCTGCGAAGGAAATTCGAGGGAAGACGCTGAATCCTCACGTTTACGCGTGTCAGCTCGACCTGGCATCCATGAAGTCCATACGCAAGTTTGCAGAAAGAATCAAGCAAAGTGAGAGGGTCTTTCAAGTTTTATTCTTAATTTAAAAAAAATGAAGCATACAGGATAACTGTTGTCTTTTTTCTTTCTTTATTGTCTTGTAGAAGAGAAGCATGTGGATGTTCTGATAAACAACGCAGGGGTCATGAGATGTCTCACAGGGAAGACAGAAGATGGCTTTGACATGCAGTTTGGAGTGAACCACTTAGGTAACAAACAAAAAAAGAATACACCTTTCTGTAAGCTCTTTCTGTGTGAAAATGTTTTAATGTGAGAATAAACTCACGCTGAACTCCATCACTACTACCTGGCTCTTTCTGTTTTTCTCCAGGCCACTTCTTGTTGACAAACCTCCTGTTGGATAAGTTGAAAGAGTCCGCCCCCAGCAGAGTGATCAACCTGGCCTCACTCGCCCACATTGTTGGAAAGATGGACTTCGAGGACTTGAACTGGGAGAAGAAGAAGTTTGATACCAAGCAGGCGTACTGTCAGAGCAAGCTTGCCAATGTTCTGTTCACCAGGGAGCTCGCCAGGCGATTACAAGGCAAGTCTTCTGGCTGCTGAATATGTGGGCATGTGTGGGAGGGAGTCCGCCCTATGTTCTTGTTTGTAATTGGCCATTGGGTATGTATTTTTCCAACAATGGTGTGTGTGTGTGTGTGTGTGTGTGTGTGTGTGTGTGTGTGTGTGTGTGTGTGTGTGTGTGTGTGTGTGTGTGTGTGTGTGTGTGTGTGTGTGTGTGTGTGTGTGTGTGTGTGTGTGTGTGTGTGTGTGTGTGTGTGTGTGTGTGTGTGTGTGTGTGTGTGTACAGGCACAGGAGTCACAGTAAACGCTGTCCACCCGGGCGTTGTTGCCACGGAGCTGGGGAGGCACACAGGTCTGCACCAATCACAGTTCTCCAGCTCCGTGCTCAGTGAGTATCCAAGACAGTTATTCTGAATTTACAGAAATCAATAAATGATTACCTAATGCACGGGCTAATATTAGCTTATGCTAAAATTAAATATTCCATTCTTATGTGCTTGTTCTGTTTGAATGAGCAGAAGCTGTAGCTGAGCTTTCCAATAAGTACAAGAAGAGTCTAAAGTTCTCCAATGATGCATTTTTCAACTTTCTTATTCTGCCTTTTGCTTTAAACTTCTTTAAAGTTTTCAGATCCTTTATGAAGGTTAAAGAACCAAAATTAAATGCTGAAAATATTCTTTCAGCCACTTTGGAAATGGTATGGTACTTTTTTTTTTTTTGCAAAATGTCATTATCAAAAGTTCTCAATGAAGACAGATTTCTCCTGTGTGGCTTTCATACTATCACACAGCACGTTGTTATTGTTAGGTTTATATAATGATGCGAGGAGGCAGAATTCTCCTTTTGAAGTGGGTGAGGTGATATTTCTTAACTATTTCATTTAGTGTTGAGTGGTTTCATCCATAACAATATTTTTTTATCTACTGAATTAAACAGTGCATATTTTCCTCTGAATCGTTGTGAATTGAAAGAACAAAGTAGAATGCAATTGATGAACTTAGGAAAAGTAAAGTTTCACATTGCAACACTGGATGTGTTTCAAAGACTTTAGCTTCTTCTTGTTGTTCAACCAACACAGCAGCATGTTATACTTCAGTTTGAGTTGAAAATCACAGTCTTTGTCACAAATTTTTCCCTGCAAAGGCATAATGTTCTTAATTAACTAAAACATCCTTTAGAAAAAACATGTGTATACTATTTA